TCCCCAGAACCCGAGATCGCGTCCAATTCAAATATGGAAGCTCAACGTCACCTGATACGAGTGGCACATTACTCGGAACAAGAGGTGGCGTTGATTTCAAACAGGGCAGCTGAATCAGTCAAATCAGTGCCACATCGACAGTCGTTTTTGATGAAGAATATATAGAATTTCAGCTCACAAAATTCGAGAAGAAAAGAAAGTTTGCTTCGATTCATTTGACATCCTAGAAGACGAGCTTCACTTTTTTATTATTCAGCTCAAGTTTCGGACCATCACAGATATTCCGAAATTGCTGTTACGTCACGAAAGTCTAAGAGATTACATGAGCCCTGATTCTTCGGAAAACGAATTGGCTTTGCATATCTTGTTTCACGAGCTAATTGTCGACAAGGATATGTTTGGAGTTGAGGAACTCTTGCGTACCAAACATGCAAACGAATAGGATATAGTAAATCTCATTCCCGAATGGCTGGGAAAGGATGCCACCACAAATCAAAGAGCCATTGCCGAACGACTTTGCGCGGGGTTGATGACCATAGCACGTATCTATAGAACACTTCAAAAGCGAATTCGACATGAAAAACAAATTTTCTTTATATTTCCGGCGTTTAATGCTTACTTCCATGCCCATGAGCTAATGGAGGTGTCAAACTGAATACAGTGAATCATTACTCATTTGTTGTGGACTCAAATGTTGCTCTTTACCAAAAAATGTTAAGGTTATTTAGCTCTCTGATATAACAATTCGGCAATCTAGCTTTACCCTTGAAGATGCAATAGTAAGGCTCAGTGCGAAGCACAAGTGTCATGAGCACATGAGCAGTGCAGATACTAAAACTGTATATTTGATAGATTTCGCTAGCCAGGAATCGACGCTTCTGCTTCTAGGATCAATTGATATCGCACTGCCAATGTCCGTGGGGTTCACATTCGCGACATCAATAATACCAGAGCAAGACACGTTAAGAAGCTGACAGAACAACTGCTAGCATAGTCTGCCTCATTCTTCAGCTTATTCGATCGATGCTGCATGTCTCCCACTTTCCAGCGCTGCGGCGCGTGTCAGCTCCACAGCACCTCGACGTCACATTAACGGTTTGCTATCTCGTGCTTTCGCAGCCAAAAATTGTGATATTGGCGTCTCTCACGACAAATTTTTGCGAGCACTCGACAATAGTAAAACCGTCCTTTGATTCCTTGCCAGCATGCGACCTTCGTACTTCCAGTCCAATCTTGAAGAAGATCGTCGACAGCATCTTAATACTAGTACGGCACTTGTGAATGCTCAGCAACCCGAAGTGTTGCTTCG